TGGAGCATTTTGAATATTGCAGGGGCAATGAGCTAGGCCTCAATTCTACTTGTTGGAGACTAGCCCAAAATGATACAAGCTTTGTTTCTCTTGCCATATTGAGCTTAACATAACATGTATAGTTTTGTTGAGAAAATTTATACATGGTCTGAATTTGTACTCTTTTTAGTTGATTGATACTCTCTTAACTAATATAATTCTTTAATTAAAGGGTAACAATTAAGAATAAAAGGTAAAAATAAAAAACTAATACATTTTAAGTAGTATTCCTCTCTCTTTACCATGGTTGTTTCTCCTACCGCATTGGGTTTAACACAACACCTAAAGAGAAATGCTACTTTAAATCTAATATTAATTAATGCCATAAGAACAAAAGTCTTGCATAGGTTTGTAGTTCTAAACTTTTATTATAGTGTTAAATTTAAATTTATTTTTAAACATTTTATATAAACCAAATGACACCTAAGTATATTTAGATATTCTTCTAATTTTATCATATTGACAGTAGTGATCAATAACTACCAATTAGGGGTGTTTAAAAAATCCGCCAAATTACGAAATCGCCCAATTCAAACTAAATCGAACCGAATCGTTAATTATTTTTAGATTATTAGACAGTTTGGTCGGTTTTTTAATCTACTTTTTTTGGACGGTTTGGTTTATGGTTTGAACTCCCTAAAAACCGCTAAAACTACTCAATCTACCCAAAAATATACATATATGATTTTTTAAAATTTTATAATGTTTTTATATTTATTTTAATTTTTATTGATCATAATAAAAGTTCTACACTTATAAAATACACCCCATCATATTTTTGTTAATTCATATTACAACTTTAAATGGTGAACTGTTAGACTATTGCTTTTTTAAAGTTATAATATAAACTTGAATCTTATTTTTATTTTTATTGATTAATGATTTTATAATTTCTATAAATTATTAAAAAAAATTAATCTTAAACTTCAACTACCTAAACCGCATATAAGTGATTTAGTTCAATTTAATTTTTATCAAAAATATGAGACTGCCTAAAAATATATATTTTTAATTTAGTTGGTGTTTTTTTTTTTTTCCTTAAAAAAAAGGCACCGCTAATACCCCTATTTCCAATATCCTACCATGATACTTAGAAATATCACGCTGAGATACAAAAATTTCAATAATTGATAATTATTACGGAAATAGTAGGAAATATGTCAATACGAAAAGTTTAAGAAAATATATAGGTCAATTTTTAGTTATAGAAATTAATAAGTCATAACTTGTTAAGTTATGATTCATAACCAAATAAGTTATGGACAAACTTATCAAGTTATGATTTATAGTCAGACAAATTATAGACAAAAACCGTGAATTATGGACAATAACTTGTCAAGTTATGGTTCATAACTAGACAAGTTTTGGACAAAAACAATAATTTGACCTATTTATTAACTTCTGTAAACTATTGACCTATTAATTTTAATTCATCTCAAGTCTTAACCTATTTCTATCTTTCTCCCTAATTATTAATCGGTGACTCCAAGTAGCTTATCACGATACTTAAATCATGTCGATACTAAACATTTTAGTAACCGGTGATGCCCAGCCATCAACGGCCCGTATTCTACTAGAATACTTAGAAGTATCCCGTCTTACTACTAAAAGTTATGACAATTGGCAAATTACAAGTAATTACATAAAATGTCCACTTAGAGGACTTTGTCTAAAATGTCTACTATTATACAATATTAAAAAATGTCTACTCATAATTTATAAGACATTTTGTATTCCTAATTTACCCTCATAGTTATTTTGGACATGTTTAAAGAGTTAACTTTCGTCTTTTTTACTGATTCGAGTTTTTAATTCGAGTTGAGATGTGACTTTATTTGAGAGTTTTTTACTGTAACTTTCGTCTTTTTTACTGATTCGAGTTGAGATGTGACTTTATTTGAGAGTTTTTTACTGTAGTAAAAAAGTTAAAAGTGACTATTTCTGAGAGCTTTTTATTGTAATAAAATTTAAATTCTAAACCCGAATCGGTGAAATGAACGGAGCCCCCCTCTCCTTTTTTAAACCAATTGTTGGTGTTAGGAGATGATATTATTTTCTTGCTTTTTTTTCTGGCGTATTTTCTTGAATATCATTGGTCAACGTTTTGCTCTGTGGAGAATATTTTTTTTTTCAGCCTTTTACCGGTGCTTCGCGGTGTTTGTTGAGGTTGAAGTTTGAAGGTTTGGGTTATGAACGTTTTTAAATTCTCTAGTCATATGGTTTGGTCTTGCCTTAAGGTGCTCATTAATATATTTTTGTTTTTTCTTCTATTCCTCATGGTTGATTATGTTATTATAAATAAATAATGAATTTATAAATTTATGTAATTGAGAAAGTAGCTACGCCCAAATAATGAAAATGTCAATTGTTCAGTACTTTTTTCTAATATGAATTACAAGTTTTGTTTGATAATGATTGTATCAGCAAGTTAATGAAAATGAGCTTTTTTTTAACGCGTTTGGAACTTATTCTAAAATGATTTATTTTTTGTATGAAAATGAAAATGAAAACATTTTTAATCTCAAACAGAAATCATTTTTAAAAATGCGTTTGGTACTTTTATCAAGAGATTATTTTCAGTATAAAAAAACCCATTAATGTATGTCTCTCTTTCTCCTTGAGAGATGAGAAAATAAAAATAAAAAATGAAAAACGACTAAAAATCGTTTCTCTCTCATTTCACACTAAATTAAAAAATTATTTTCATTTCTGTTTTTTGTCTTTATTGCACCAACATTGTTTTGAAAACGTTTTTATTTTTTTTTTCTTTCTCGAAAAACATGAAAAATAAAAACATGATCAATTCCAAACACAACGTTTGTTTTTGCACTCTTAATAAACTTGTCGAATTGGGAAACTTGTACTCCTAATGAATTTGGCTTTATTCACGGTAAATATATCATTGCGATAATGAATTTTTCTTTTCATTATTGTATTTATTCTGTATATTAATTTTAATATTCACTCTTATTAGTACTGTTAATTAGCGGTCTCTGTATTTTTGTGTGCCAAATGTATTTAGCGGCAAGTACTCCTAATTGAAATTGTCAAACCGGAACATTTGTGCTCCTAATGAATTTTGGTTTCGTTAATGATTAATTTATCTTTACGATAATGAATTCTTCTTTTTTTATTCTCTCGTTTATTCTATATATTAACTGTGATACTCATTCTTGTAAATATCATTAAGTGGCAGTTTCTGTATTTTGGTGAAATGGAGGCATAGGATGGCATCATTTCTGTTGACATTGTTAATCGCTCTTGGATGACAATTTGAGAGAATGGGTTGTTCAAATTCTATAAAAGGGAAAATATTTATTTGTCTGAAACCGGTTCTTAGGGGTGCTTTTATCCTTTTTTTTTTTTTGGGAAATAAAAAACTTTCCGTATACTGATTATGACCGGCTTCATTAAGGAGATGTTTAGTTAGAGGATTCAAACCATGATTTGAATCATAGTTTATGGTTCGTTACAGTATTTTTTCTCATAAAAAATATACATAAATTGAAAATAATTCTAATCCATGAACCAAACGTCTCCTAAATTTTGTTTCCTGATTGCAATTTAAGATTTTATTTCCAAAATTTGCCTTTTTTTTGTTGTTTCTTTATTTCTGACCATTTTTTTTATTATATAAGGTTAAAAATGTCTTTCTATATAAAATGGTAGATAATTATGTAAATAAATAAAATAATAGACATTTTTAAACTCAGAGCAGTGATCGGTTATGTATATAACATGACAACTTCCTACCATAATACTTGGAGGTATCCTGTTGTGATACTAAAAGCTGACAATCGATGGTAGCCGATTGGCAATTACTAGTACCCCGCCATGATACTTTGAGGTGTACCGCCGTGATACCTTGAATACTTCATAGTCGCCAATTGGAACTACTAATATCTTTTGACAACAAATATACTCCATTAATCCCAATAACAAGAAAAACCAACATTTTAATATTTAATATTAATTGTCTCAAAGGAAAACTTATGATATTATTAGTGAAAACGCTAATATCCCATATAGTTAGTTGGTGATCACTTTATTAAAATCTACAGACTTCAGGACCAACAATTCAAACAAAATAAAAGGATGATTAATTTATTAGTGCCTCAAGAACTTTAGAGTCATTTTTATTTGGCTTATGAATTTTAAAATTTTTTACTGTCTCACAAATTTTAAATTAATCCCATTTAACTTCTTCTATTAAAAATATTATGAAATATATGGAACTAGACAATGTGACTATATTTAGCCTCTTTCTTTTTTGTCTAATTTATACAAATATTCTAACACGAAGGAAGAAGTGGAACTACATTAAATTCAAAAAGTAACATGAGATTATTTAAAATACAAGAGTAAATTAAAAATGACCTCAAACTTCATAAATGCTCATGAAATCATAAACCCAAAAGAGAATACTAATCAATTTGGGGTCCCTTTTTAAGTCCAACAAACTCCGAAATCAATTTTAGATCCCTTAATACAGTGGAACACGAAGCAAGGAATAAAAAAAAAAAAGAAAAAAAAAGAGAGAAGGTAAAATAGGAATGACGGGCTTGTTAACATTTTTAAAATAATTTTATTTTTAATATAAAAATAAAAATGAAATTATTTTAAAAATTATTTTGTAACTGATTTTAAAATTACGTTTAATTAATTTTTTAAGAGATTATTTTGAATATAATAAAAAGTAAAATCGTGTTTAATTATAATTATTAATTAATATATTATAACATTATTAATAAGTATTAAAAAATAAAAAATAACTTTAAATTATTTTTTAATTTTTTCATAAAAATTATTATCACTATTTTATATATTTTTTAAAATATTTATTAAACAAACATAATTTATAAACTATTTTCATTTCTATACTTTAAAAAATGCGTAAAAATATTTTAAAAAGATAAAAATTAATTTCAAACGCACCAACATCTTTAGTTTACGGTGGAAGAGAAGGAAAAATAAAAAAAGTCGTAATAAAAATAAAAAAATAATCGAAAGGAAAACGAAGAAAATTCCTTCGCAATTACACCAATTCCCAGATCGCAAATCGCCACTGAAACAAACAGCTTCTTTTCTCTCTCAAACATGGTTATGGAGAAGTAACGATTCGCACGATTCGATTCAGAGCTCGAATCTGTGCTTCAGTGGTGTTCTTCAAAGTCTAGGTCACAGTAATTTTCCCCGAAATCATGAAGCAATTACACAAGCAATCGAGCGCCGTCAGCCACCGCCGCGACGAGGAGTCCGCAACGGCGGGGGGGGCGGCCAAAACCCTGAAGCACTCCGCTGCCGCCAGATCTCTCCCCAGATCCATCAACTACCTCTTCAAAGAGCAGCGCCTCCTCTTCATCCTCGTCGGAATCCTCATCGGCGCCACATTCTTCATCCTCCAGCCTTCTCTCTCCCGAATCTCCCCCTCCGACACCACTTCCGCCCTCTCTCGCTCCTCCTCCTTCCGTGGCGAATCAATTACGTCGCGCGATAATCAGTTTTCGTTTCCGACGACGTCGCATTTCAAGGTCGGCCGCGTCCCGGCGGCGCTGCGGCAGCGGAGGCTGAGGATCGTCGTCACCGGTGGGGCCGGATTCGTCGGGAGCCATCTCGTGGATAAGCTCATTGAGCGGGGAAATGACGTAATTGTGATCGATAATTTCTTTACTGGAAGGAAGGAGAATGTGGTCCACCATTTTGTGAATCCGAGGTTCGAGCTCATTCGTCACGATGTGGTTGAGCCTATACTCTTGGAGGTCGATCAGATCTATCACTTGGCTTGCCCTGCCTCCCCAGTGCATTACAAGTACAATCCTGTCAAGACAATTATATCCTATTCATTGGATTTGAGATTTGTTTCTTTTTTTGAGCTGTTATGTTACCATATTTTGTTGAGTTATTTTTATTATGTGCATATATATCTTCTTACATACATACATATACACATACCCATCATGCATATCATATGTGCACTGCTCACTTTTTTTTATTTGAATCTCCAAATCTGCTGAGTACTGATAACATAAGTGTAAGGCGGTTTATTTATTTTTATTGAATTTGATGTTTGATTGGATTTGGCATTTGGGATTTGTTTCCTTTTTTGAATTATTCTTTTATTAGTATCATTTCTAATGTAAGGTGGTGTATCTATTTTTATTTCTTTTGGCATTTGGCATTTGAATGACGAATGATTATGTTATTATTATTATTCCTTAACTTTAATGATTTGATCACAAGACAAATGTGATGGGTACACTAAACATGCTGGGGCTTGCTAAGAGAATTGGGGCCAGGTTTCTACTCACTAGTACAAGTGAAGTTTATGGTGATCCACTTGAGCATCCACAGAAAGAGACTTATTGGGGAAATGTTAATCCAATTGGTAAGGTTCTAGCTAAAAGTTTCTGTCTTTTGATCTATTAATGGCGTCTGATGAGTTTATTATGGTAAACTTGAAAATGGATAGGTGAGAGAAGTTGCTATGATGAAGGAAAGCGGACAGCAGAAACCTTGACTATGGATTACCATCGAGGTGCAGATGTTGAGGTAAAGTCGTAAAGATTTTGATGTTTTCTGATGTGAGCTTTATCCAGAATTTGAAGCTAATAAAAGCTCTTAAATGTCCATATTGGAAAGTTGAGTCAGTCAAAGCTTCGTCTTTTCAAATATGTTATTATGTTTTTCTTTGTTATGCAATTTGCTTGCGGATTCTGGTCTATAAAGTATAAATGGGTGGACTGAATGCAGTGCGGCAAGTGATAATGGAATTTATGCAAATTAGATTATGTTAAAGTGGTCATAATGATTTAATGGGATTTATAAGATGTCTTATGTAACTATTTGTAAACACCAAAATAAATTCACACCCATATGCTTCGTAAAATCATCTAGGATATTCATCCAATATAGAAAAAACTTCTAAATAACTAATATCAGGGCTTGCTATTACCAATTGATACCGTCTTTTTGAGTTCCTCGATTTCATCAGTCCACATTCTATTTAATAGCTTCCTGCCGTAATGTAATTTTTTACTATTAGTTTTTTGAACTTGTATTTTCTGTTACATGCCTTCAAAGGTATTTACGTCATACAGTAGTTACAACTGATGTAGTTCAACGTCATATAGGATCTAATATATTAGGTCACGTGTGAGACTTATTATGAGGCTTGCTGTTTACAGGTGCGTATTGCTCGCATCTTTAACACATATGGTCCTCGTATGTGCTTAGATGATGGACGTGTTGTCAGCAATTTTGTTGCTCAGGTATTTATCCTTCTATGCTTTCCTTTTTTTGGTTCATTACTCAAGTAAGGATTCTTTTCGACATAATTTGTCTTTGATGAGATTTTCTAACTAAAAGTATGGATGTTTTGCAGGCGATCCGCAAAGAAGCATTGACCGTTTATGGTGATGGTAAACAAACACGAAGTTTCCAATATGTCTCTGACTTGGTATAGTATAAGATTTACCTTTTTCATTCACTATTGTAGAAGATTTGCTTTTCCGTGCTCGAATTTATAATTTTCTGTTTTCAACATATTCTTCTTCCAATTTGAATGCTACAAGAGACTATGGGAAATATGTGTCCCATGGCTAGCATGAAAGGTAACATGGTGATTACTTCATTAGCACACTCAAAAACTTGTTGAATGTTTTGGCACAAGTATGCAAAAAGCAATATTTCGTGGTTGTCTGCCTCTTACGGGTCATATGAAGCAAGCAAGTACGTAAAAGCTGACAGAGGCTAAATTTATGAGAGCCGTCGTATAATTAGTGGATCTCAGTTGCATAGCTAGTCCATATGTATGGACGGTTTAGACAGTCCATTCAACGCTCACACTAGCAATAATGACATTGGTAATTAGTTGGAATATCTGTTTATCCGGCTCAAAATATAGACAAGCTTATAATTGCAATTGATTGAAGTGTAGTGATGGAAAAATCTAACTGGTTTTTTCCATTTACAGGTTGATGGACTGGTGGCGTTAATGGATGGTGAACATGTGGGTCCTTTCAACTTGGGTAATCCTGGAGAGTTCACCATGCTAGAGCTTGCAGAGGTTTGTCTCTTCCATTTTAAATTCATTTGCCAACATATATCTATATAGTCTGTACATAGTCCTCCGGTCGACTCACATATTTCGTGGGAACAGTTCTTTAGTTTCTTGATTTTCTCTTATTGGTGGGAGAGAGAGAGAAGTCTTATTGCTTGTCTTCCCCGAATATACAGGTTGTCAAAGAAACGATTGATTCAAGCGCAACTATAGAATTCAGACCAAATACTGCTGATGATCCACACAAGAGGAAGCCCGATATCAGCAAAGCAAAGGAGCTGCTGAACTGGCAGCCGAAAATCCCACTAAGGGAGGGTCTACCGCTCATGGTAAGCGATTTCAGAAACCGCATTTTGAATGAAGATGAAGGCAAAGGGCGCAAATAAGAGAAGGAAGAAGTACAATACATATGTATAGTGTCAAGGCTGTATCTTATTAATCCCTTTACTATTGTCAATGCCAATCTAAATTCCTCAAAAATTCTTTCAAAATGCAACACTAGGAAAAAAGAAAATATGTTAGTTATCTCATTTGGTGCTTCATTAGCACCTACATTTTGTTTTTGTTTTTTTTTTTTTTTTTTCCTGCCAAGTCTTGGCTCATTTATTTTATTTCCTTTTTGCAGTAAATTTGTGGTTAAGGATGTGCATGTATTCATTAAATTTTGCTCTTTCGACAGTGTTTTGAATATTATATTATAAGAGAAGACATCTCTGTAGAAAAATGTGGTAATGGGAACAAGTTCCGAACGACATGGTTAGTTCTTGTACTTAACTGCCTTTTTTAAAAATAATAATAATAATAATAATAATAAATAAACAAGTGTTTTTAGCATATGTTTGGAATTGTGATATTTTACCCTTTGTTGTTCATTTCCTACGCGCAAGTCTTCTTCAACACCTTTTGTCCGCTAGAACTACACCAATTCACAACAGATCACTTTTCTTTTCTTTTCTTTTTTTCCGTATTTCCTTTTTCTTCTTATGGCGGATATATTGGAGCCAAACCATGATTTAAGGTCCCTTCTTTTCATAGGTTTGAACGCTTTGAATCTTTCAATCCTTATTATCTTACTGTCCAAAACCTTCTTTCCAACATATGTAGAGCTCATTTAGTTCATTGATTCGAGTTTTTAATTTGAGTTGAAATGTAACTTTATGTGAGAATTTTTTATTGTAGCAAAAAAATTAGATATGACTGTTTATAAGAGCTTTTTACTGTAACAAAACTCGAATCTGTGAAATGAACATGGCCGTAGTGTTACAATTCTGAATATAATACCATGTAGTTATACATTATAGTTCTGAATATAATATGAGATACACTATATTACTATTATATTACTGTATTATTTATTATTTGGTTTGTTTTTTGGGTTGGGAGGTTGTGTGAAGGTGGGATCAAAACTCCAAAATTGTATACCATCTGGACCCCAACATAAAGTAGTGATACATAGTAGTTTAATATATTGAACATAACCAGTGTAATAATTATGTGTTCATAGTTTTACTTTTGTTTTTCTAATCTTTGATTTGGCCGTAAGCAATAAGTCATTATCTTAAGAAAAGCCTGCCGACAGAGATTGAAGTTGTACAAACAATGGGCATAACTATCAGCATAATAATCTATGTATATCTATAATCTATTAAAGAAGCAAAAGTGAGAATGAAAAAAAGAAAAGAAAAGAAAAGAAAGTGTCACAGAAAAGAGCATATTTTATAGTGTAAGAACTTAGGTCTACTCTCCAAACATAAATTAGAAACCCCACTTCTTAAAAATATCATAACACAAGGCAAAATTGAAAAAAAAAAAAAAAAAAAAAAAAAAAAAAAAAGGAATCGTTTTGGGTTGGGACTCCTAATTGGTAAATGCGGTAGGAAGCTTGGAAATGTAAAGAAAGAAAAAGAAAACCAAAAAAAAAAGTGGAAAAAACCAAATCATATGAGCATCTGATTCCATGAGTTTGTGAAGGAGAATTTTCATGAGTTAAGATGGTGAGTAGAGAGAGATGAGTGACTACTTTATGGCTCATCCATCAACAGGAAAAGAAAAATTCCAAATGGCTTACTATCTGGCAGTATTTGTTCCATAGGAATCTAAATAATGCTGCATATACATGATAAATATCCTCTGCAAAGGTCTTGTTAATTCTTATTTATATATATATATATATATATATGAAAAATAGTAGAAAATAGACTAATATGAAAAGCTTAAAAAAGTATATAGGCTAATTTTTAGTTATAGAAAGTATATAGGCTAATTTTTAGTTATAGAAATTAATAGGTCATAATTTATCAAGTTATGGTTCATAACCAGATAAGTTATGGACAAACTTGTCAAGTTATGGTTCATAACCAGAGAAGTTATGGACAATTATGGACAATAACTTGTCAAGTTATGATTCATAACATATATATATATCTTTGTTCCTTTGCTAGTATCCATGCAATATGTAACTTTGTAGTTGTACTAAACTTCTGTAGGTCCATCATTTTAATTGGTTGTTTGGGACCACCTTTAGTTTGAGTTTAACTTCAACTACCATCTGGATTTTCATTTAAGGTGAGGGAACTTTTACTATGTGCATAATTAAGGAGAATGAGAGGACACAACAGAAGAGAACAGAAATGGAAAATTATGAGCTATGACCAATTTCAAGTGTGACACTTGAGCATCTTTTATTATTATTATTGTTATTTTGGGAAAATCTTGTAGTGATTGGCCATTAAATACTTAATCATGTCCTAAATTTTCATTGGTGCATGACAAATGAAATAAAACTTTGAAATCCTATGTTAGGTCTGCCTCCTAAAGAATTGAATGTTTAGGAAAAATGCCTTTAATGTCTTGTCAGCTTATAAAATGACCTCCACTTGTTAAGGCTTATATTCTTCCAATGAAATCAGGTCTCAAAAAGAATTTTCACATGTTATCATGAGAAGCAATTATTGCTTTTTTATAAAACCTAAAACACCAGCGTCCACTTGAGATTATGTGCACAATTTTCCTCATATATTGTTCATTGAAAAAATTTACAAAAATCATCTTCATCAAGTGAAATGTAACGTTCAATTTTTTTTTCTTTCTGAAAAATATAAAGAAGTAACCTTTCAAATCACGAATGCCTTAAAAATCCTACCCTTTAGAAATGACAACTTAAGAACATGATTCGTTAAGACCTTAGGTCTCGTTCATTTCACGGATTCAAATTTGCAGTTTTAAGTTTTTACAATTAAAAGCTCTCAAAAAATGTCATATCTAACTTTTTTTTTTGCTACAGTTAAAAGCTTTCATAAAATGTCACATCTTAACTCGAATTGAAAACTTAAATCTGCGAAACGAATGAGGCCTAAAATTTTTTAAAGGATTGACACTCTGAATGACTATTCTTGTAATTCTTGAAAATGCAAGGTTAACCTCAAATTTCACTTGAATCAAAGTTCACAGAAATTGAATATACCAAAATACTTTTATCATCTCGTGTAAAATATAGTATTTACAATATATACCCTTTTAAATGAGAAAAAAGCTGAAAGGCACAAGTGATGTTGAACAATTCACATACTAATGATATGATAGAATTTACAGGTAGAATCCACTCTCTATTAGTTACGGTGCTAAATAATAGTGATGTTCGTAAGCATTTTTCTTCGAATAAACATTAGAAGAGCAAGATGTGAATGTGGTTGAAGCAGATTTAACCGTTGGTCTGACTCATCTGATCATGTGCTTCATTTCAAAAAAAAAAAAAAAAAAAAAAAAATCAGGACAGCTTGCTATGCATATACTGTGTGTGTAAGGTGTTTTCAGTAATAATAATTAGTAAATATATATTTTTGTAGGGCATGCCTTAGCAGGGTAGCAGACCAAGCATTAATTAACACTACCCCAGTTTATAATGTTTTTGCTATTTATTATTATGGAAATGTGACTGAGCCTCAAAATTATATAATAAACGACAACGCATTATATGGGAAATGTCACGGGTCTTCACACAAATCCAAACAAGAGCCTGTGTTCATAAAATAAAAAAGAAAAACACATCACAAAAGTGCATTTCCATTTGGTTCTTGAGTTCCTCAATTTTCTCAAACTTTATAAAAAAATATATATGAAAAGAAGGAATTTGAATAAACAAGTTTGTCAATACAAGTTTCGGGTTTAATATTTCTGCAGATTAAACAGAATGATTCTGTACCATGAAACTTTCAAAATATGCCTTATTTTTCTGATTAATATAAAACTTTGCGTATATATGTTTGAGCTAGATGAAAATGAAGCAAAAAAGAAGTTGGAAGGTAAGGAAAAAACCAAGACACTTAAAAGCGTACATCATTTTCATCCGTTGAAACCATAGAAAAGTTGGTTGCGTCTCTTAAATCGTTTTCTTTGTGGCCACTCTGATAGTTAACAAACGTAACTCTTCTTCTGCTTCTTTTCTATTTTCCATTATCCTCCATTTTCAATTAACAGTTTTGTCTCTATAGGGAAAATAAGGCCTTGAAAGTGATGCCAAAGTACGTCCAAAATCTAGTTATAGCTAAATAGGTCAAATTTTCATTGGCTTTCACAAAGGATTATATCAAAAGAAGATTTACAATAAAGTTAATATAGTTTGAACCGTCAGATTATATCAAAATTATATCATAAGATTTTTAATAAAATAAGAATGTAAATTTAATCACACGTGAAAATCCGACAGTCGATAACTATACAATACGATTAAAGTATTTTTATACCTACCACAGAACTCTCCAATGTAATATATAGCACTGGCACAAGTACTATACCAGAATACAAAAAAGAGTAGCACCATTTTATTCTGTAATGATATCTTAGACTTTTCAAATTCTTATTAGTGATTTTCAAGCTTAAAAAGCAGAACAAGAAGCTTAGTAAAGAAGCTCTTCCCCACCTCATCTCTCTCTCTCTCTCTCGTCTCTCCCTCTCTCACATTTATGCAGATTCTCTGATCCACTAGTCCGGTCTCACCTCTTATCTTAACTATTATCATCATCATTATATCAAACAAAACATGAAAGGCATTGATATATTCTGTGCATCCCAAGCTTCAACTGCTATATGTTTGAGCATGGACATTGAAGCTGCTTCATCCTCCTCCACTTCCTCCACCATTCAACTTGGCGGCCGAGCCATCGACCGCCACAATCCCATCATCCGTGACGGACGAAGAAGCGCCCCTTGCTCCTCTCAGCCCCCCATCAATCCCAAGCCTTACCACCAACTCCCAAGGGCCAAGAAAAGCTCTAAAATCAATGATCAAAAGAGAAAGAGTACTAGTTCTCAAACCAAGCTTAGTGACTACATCAAAACTGGCTCTTCTTCTTCTTCTACTATTACTTTGCCTAGAGATGTTGTCGGTAGAAAAAGCTGGGGGGCTAAGGCTGCTGATTTGGTCACTCCTCCTGGTTCCTCGAGATACCTTTTGGGCGACACCGCATTTCTCGATGGATTGTCGGACTATGATCCGGTCCTGTCGTTGGTTCCGGTTCGAAACAAACTGAACCAACTAGGTGCTGCTAGTACTGCTGCCGATGCAGAGAAGCAAGAACAATCCAATGCTGAAAAATTAGACTCTTCTTCCTCCTCTCATCACTCCTCCAAACCATCTTCTTCCAACCAGGTTAGTTTACCAATTCTCTTGAAAGCTTATGTAGCTGTTAGAAAGTGGGCCGACATTAGTTTTTTTATTTAAGTGCTAAAGAAACGAACATGTTATTCATTGGTACATGCTTTTAGTAAAAGCTCTTAAAACATGTTGGTGGCTAGCTTGGTAGTTGATTCAAAACATGAAAGTGTGGAAAAAAATCTTAACCCCAGATGAATTCTGCCTTTTTTTCGTTTTGATCATCATAAAAGTGGACATGATTATAACAATTTTAGTCACGGAGAGAAGACTATAGGTCCATTGTTTATTATTTGACGGGTGTGGTACTAATGGAGTTTTGGTTTAATTTGCAGGTTGTGGTCCTGAGGGTGTCCCTGCATTGCAGAGGTTGTGAAGGAAAAGTTAGGAAACATTTGTCCAGAATGGAAGGTACACACACACACACACACACACACACACACACATATATATATATATATATATCTTGTAATCTCTCAAGGCTAAAAAACTGTTTGGTTCCTTAAAAGGGCATCATCAATTTTTGCCATTTTACATGATTGCCACCTTTTTCTGTCAATTCTTTTCTGATGCATTCCCATACATACTCTATACTTTCTAGATAGTCATCAAAGCCATTTCTTGTAATTATAAGAATTCACTTTCATTTTGGGTAAGGGGTAGTTTGAAAGAAACCAATCATTGAATTTTGATTACATGAGCAGAAAATACTAATTGAACATATATAAATATTAGTTATGATGGGAAGTTTACTAAGACAAAATTAAATTCATTAATGTGTGTGTGTGAGTGCAGGAGTGACATCTTTCAACATAGACTTTGCAGCAAAGATGGTGACTGTGGTAGGAGATGTAACTCCACTTAGTGTCCTGGCCAGTATATCAAAGGTAAAGAATGCTCAATTTTGGACTAAAGAAGTTGTCTCATCAACCGCAGCACCAAACTTCACTCCCAGCAACTTGGAGACCAAAAAACATTAGATGCCTACTTGAAGAGAGAGAGAGAGAGAGAGAGAGATGGGAATCAACTATAGATATGGTTTTGGATGTGAATTAGATGCTTTTTTCTTTTTTTTTTTATTTTGGTGTAAATGAAGTTCTTTTTTTTTTTTTTTTAAGCATATGGGTGGATGAACTTTCAGAACCAAAGTTGCTTAGTAGAAAGTAAATTAGTATATAAAAAAAAAAGGGAGTCTTTTAAGCAGTCATAACAAGTTATGGTTTAGTCAATTCCCCATAACTTTGTTGCAATATGGCCAAGGCTTTGTGCTTCCCAAACATGTTTTTTTTTTTTTTTTTTTTTTTTTGGTATTTTGCCCCAATTATTCTCAAGGGATAATGTTTTGGAAAACGTAACAATCCTAATTGTTGGCGCGAGGATCATATTCTTGATTCTTGAAACCCCTCAATTTAAGTACAAAAACATTTTACTTTGGAAACCTAATGGCTAATAGGAAGAAGTGAAAATGAAATACTACTATACGTAGCTCTAGTATATCAAAAGGTAACATATTTTACTAGACTTTAAAGGAAAGAAAATATCACCATTTTTTTTAGGTTAAAATCTCAGCATTTAAGCCATTATTTTATTGTATAACTACATAAAGTGCAATTGCTTGTACAATGTGAACGTGGGTGGGGCATATATCAAGTAGAAAAAGGTAGAATTGGACCATATAGCCACTATGGAAAATTCATGAGAGGCGTATATATTAGTTGTCTTTGCTTTTTCTCCTTCAACTAAAAAGCAGAAGAATTTTCTTTTTATACCCTGAAAATGAAAGGGGTAAAGTTTGGTTTCTCTTGAGAAAAGGATAACATTCGTATCTTCATCCTTTGTGCCGGCCGCATCAAGTTCTCTCTGCTTTATGCAAAATGAAAAGTTGGGTTCTCACCAAAGCTTTGAACCACAACACCGCTATTTATCACCATCGGCGATGCATTGTCACATGTGTGTCGATAAAACGAGAACCGTGAATTTATAATATAACAAAAACAACAAAACTAGATCTTACTCAACTACATGGAAGTTTAAGAAAATTAACACCATAACTAATAAAAGATAAATTATATTTGTGAAAAATGCTTGGTGGCATCATCGACGCTAAGTATCGCAATTAATAAAAAAAAAAAACCCCATCGTGAGTTTCTGTTGGATCCATCTTGCATAATTGACCCATAGCATCGATTTCCTTTTATAGGCCACATGTTGTAAATTTTTTTTTTCACATAAATTAGATTAGTGTGTGGTGCTCAACACCGCCAATACCTCCAGCATTTTACGAGTTTTAATATATTATAATTTACGATGAGTACACTAGCAATAGTAATAAATCACGTTTTTCCAACACAAGAAAGAAAAAAAGAAACAAAAAACCATGCATGAAAGAAAGATAAGTCTACCTTTAGACCTTCCAAAATATGAATGGAAGAAGGCCATTAAAACATACAGCAAACTTACAGGTACAATTTCACCAAGTGTGTATCTCTTTTATTTTCATCTGACTGAGAATCAAGTTTTTAATATGAGACACAAACGTTTCACCAATTAATTTACATTGAGTTTTTTTTTGGTAAATTAATTGTCATATATTGAGTATAAACTCATACACAGCTTGCAAATGGCATACAATAAATAGTAAATAGGGGCTGTTGGGTGGGTCAAAATTCTATTAATTGGCACCTAATCATACAAAGCTAGTAATTAGAGGACAAGAGTAGAGTAATGGCCGTGAAAGAGGAAAGAAATTAGAGAGAGATGAGATGAGAATTTGGGAGGAAATTGAGAGAAGAAAGAGAAAGATGAGTAAGAGATCAGAAGAAATTCAAGGGGGGCAATACTTGTGGAATTCAATATATTCATCAATTACAAAAAATAAACAAAATTAAATACATACAATCAAGAAAATTTTTTAAAACCAAATTCGCAAACTAAATAAGAATCAATCTGAATTTATTCGTTTATATCTCCGTCTAAAATAAATTAAGAGATTTGACTTTGTTCCGCATCATGCAGTTTTGGTGGTAAAAAATTCCAATGAAAAGGATAATTTTGTTCAAACGATGCCCCTCTTCTAGGGAATTCAAATGGCTAAAGGAATCAAACCCCAAGCTGGCTATCCATCTTTTTGCCATTTAGTTCATGGTCCCACCACAAGACACCATCCTCCGTCGCCCGACCGACCGATTAGTCGGTGACGACGCAAACTGAGATGTCACTCCAACTAGTCATGCGAATTTAAGTACCTAGTTATCTAAGCCTGTGATTGTTCTATGTGACTATCTGTCATAGGTTTATAATAATATTGTATGGCTCTATAATAATAATAATAATAATAATAATCAAAGTTTATTGTATTGGTAGTTATGCTAAATCCCTCTTCTCTTCCATCTTTCCTGTGCCTATTCATATACTTAGCCTTGTTGGCAAATCATGCTTCTTCTTGTTCAAACGTGTTTGCATGACTCAAATGAAAGTTCATTCAACTTTTAGAGAGAGAGTGAGAGAGATTCTCTCTCCGGCTATGGTAATATATAATTGCCATATTATTATCATCAAATTTGAAAAAAAATTCTTAAAGAGTCACTATAGACGCTCAACACCACAACTAATAATAAATCATATATCAGTGTTAAGCACCGCAACTAATAGAAAGTGTATTCTATTTGTTAGTCTTATGTTATGAGATCGACTTTTTATTAGTGTGTGGTACTTAATACCATCACCCTAGCATTGTTCTCCATCTATAGACTCACATTAAATTAGCATGCGATACTCAACGCCGTCCATACTTTGCCACAGAGGCAATTAAAGATCAATAGGGGAAAAACAAAAACTAGTTTTATATACAAATGCAATCAGTCGTTAAGATGATCATGTGCCCCCACAGGAATTGTTTACATGTCATGTATTGGTCTTTTTTAAGGAGTTTATATTGTGCTTTAATCATATTACACTTTAAATTGCTACACGTATATTCACTGAGTTAAATTTCTTTTCTTATTTATATCAGCTGGTTATTTCTTTCCTTTTTTTTCTTTTTTTCTTTTTTTCTTTTTTTTTTTGTTGGCTCTTGATTTGTATCAGTAGTTTATTTCAATATGTGATTTTCTCATTTTCTGTTTTTAGTTCAACAATTCTTTCCTTTGTATTTTTCTTTTAGGTTTGCTCATATGCAAATGACTCTCCGTGTCCTTTCTTTTATTATTTTTGAAGCCATCATTTTGTTTTTTCATTTTATTTATTTCCCTCCCTATATCCTTCTTCCTTTTCATTTTTCTACCTATCTCTTTATTTCCTTTTCTCTAGTTCCATAAATCTGTATTACTATCCTTTTTTCCTCTCCTACCCGATCTTCTTTTTTGCTGCGTTCTTTCCTTTCGGTTTATTTTTCAGTACTTTTATATCAAAAACTTCGGTTGCTTCCTCGAAATTATTACCTCCAAGCGACTTTATGTGAGAACTTTTTACTGTAATAAAAAGATTAGATGTGACTGTTTTTGAGAATTTTTTACTGTAACAAAATTAAAATTCTAAACTCGAATCGGTAAAATAAATAGGGCCTTAACATATTGAGGTATTGTTCTGTAAAGATCTTCATTTTTTCTGTACGTGATAATTATTTTATAATATACATAATACTTGACAAAAAAAAAAATTTATCAAAGATGTTGAAAGTTTTACTTAGTTTTATTACAATTTTTTTTCTTATTTGTGTCTCCATTGGATTAAAATCCCGACTCCGATACTGCCAATACTCCTATCATTGTTCGAGTTTTAATGTGCTGCAATTTACGGTGATTGTACTCAAATTAAAACTCAAAGTAAAAAAGAAACAAAAACAAAAAAAACAAGCATGAAAGAAAGATAAGTCTACCTTTAGATCTTCCAAAATATCAATGGAAGAAGGCCATTAATGTTAGCGTTTATGCCCTTAGGAATAAATGTAACAATATTCTTTGAGATATTTTGACTATTAATAAAGATTTGTTTATTTTATATATCTATGAATTGTCCTCTTTATGTTCATAATAGTTGAATGTATGATAAGCAAACTGAAAGTCTGAGACTGTCATTCTAAATCTTTAGGTCATGCATGTAATGTGAAGAACATGCGGAAGACAAGAATCTAAAGATGATAGTCTAAATCTTATGATCCACAATCGAGGGAATAAAGTTGGGCGCTTTATTCATGTTAAGATTGTTATGTTGTCTACTTCCTAACGGAGACGGCTTGTCTTGGTCGTCGGAGGTGGGACTCCATGGGTGGAGACATTGATATAGTTTCTAATGGTGAAATCTATATTGGATCGGACCAAAGTTGAATTGTTTTAATTAATAATTTTGTTTGAATAAAACAATTCACTTTTGACGAATTATATGTTGTCATCTTAATCCTGAGATGGATGATGAACCTGTATACTGGACTTGTATCCTTTGATGTACTAAAGGGAGACATCCTGACATTATGTAAAGGTACGCTTGCCGGTACATTGGGGGTATGACTCGTGTATGCGTAGATTCGTTATTCATAGATAGTGGAATCCATAGCTCCTATA